GGTTTGAACCCGCCATCCTCAGTATGTGGAACCGGCGCCCTACTCACTGAGCAACAGGTGCCACCCAAGCCTACTTCTTATTCTGCAGGATGGGATCCCCCATATGAAACCTTCTTTTTATTCTGGTAAAAAAAAAAACAAACCTAAAATTTACCATCATAATTATTTTTAAATATGCAGTCTGCGGCGTTAAGTATATTTACATTGTTGTGGAACAAATTTCTAGAACTATTCCATCTTGCAAGACTAAAATTCTGTTCCCAATAAAGAACAACTCCCCCTTTCCCTTCGCCTCAGCTCCTGGTGACCACCATTCTACTTCCTGTCTTTTTTTTAATTCGACCACTTTAGATACCTTATATAAATAAAGTCATATAGTATTTGTCTTTTTTGTGACTGGTTTATTTCACTTAGCATAATGTCTTCAAAGTTCTTCCATGCTGTAGCATGTGTCAGAATTTGATGAATCATGAAATCATAAATACTTCAGAGTACATTTTTTTACCCCAGATTTATTTGAACACTGTTGGGCCAGGGGCAGGAGGTGGGAGTCCTCCCTGCTTTACTTGTGCAATGAAATAAATACCCTATTGAGTTTATCTCTCTGTCACGTGATCTTCCTACTTTGGTTCTTCAAGTTTCTGAGCCTAAATTAACCCTAACAAGCAAATGTTCTGTGTTAAAGAAAGTACTCAACAAGGGAGCTATGTCAGACATTGTAAAACAAAATATCCTCTTTAAGAGTATATTTTTAATGCTGGAGAGTTTTTAACACTCAGGTTGATGTGATTTCATTCCAGAGAGCTCAGAAATATGCTCAACAAGTTTTGCAAAAGGACTGTCGGCCCAAGTTTGCGAAAACATCAATGGCACGGTTGTTTGAGCACAGGTATAGCCCGGACTTACAGCCTTTTGTGCAGAAGGCCCCCAAAGCAAGTGAAGCTAAGGACAAGTATGATCCTCCTTTTGGATTCCGGAAGTTGTCCAGTGAAGTTCAGTCCCTTTTGGAATTGTTGCCTGAGCGTGACTTTCCAGAACACTTGAAAGCCAAGAGCTGTCGGCGTTGTGTGGTTATTGGCAGCGGTGGGATACTACACGGACTAGAACTGGGCTATGCCCTGAACCGGTTCGATGTTGTGATCAGGTACATTGCTTTTAAAACCAACCTTTCTCCTCTAGAGCTAAGTTTACTACCCTTGGTCAGTGCAGCTCCCTGACCTGAGGGAGGGAGACAGGATGCCCTTCATGGTCCTTTCCCTTCCTCAAGGGACTTACTGTTAGAGAAGTTGAAACAAAAACACAAAATGATTGGATGTTGAAACAAAAACACACAGTGTGGATGTGCCACACTGACCTTAACTTTGAGGAGCAGGCTGTGGACAGCGGTAAGTGGCAGAACCTTTTAAGAGAAGATGAGATTTGGAAAAATGGCTAGAGGACAGAGTAGGAGACCTGAGTCGGGGGGAGCCCTGGCTTCTGGGGCAGGGGCTGGGGGTGGTGGGCTATGGGAGGCCATGCCCCTGGGACACAGAAGAGGTTGAACTCACCATGACAGGCAATAAACAATCATCCTAGATTCTTTTTGGTTTACCCATTTAAAAATGTATTTTTCTGATTGTAAAAAGTAAAATATGTTCATTACTGAAAATTGGAAAAATACAGAAAATATATAAGGAAGAACATGACCACTCATTTCAGTACAGATAACCACTATGAGTTTGCTGTGTCTTTTACGTTTGCTCTATACACATACTTACGAATGCATTTACAGTTTTATAAGATATTTTGCTTTTTTAACTTAATATCATGAATACTTGCCGAGATCATTAAATATTCTTAAAAAACTAACTTAGCAAGTGCTTAATATTCTTTTGTGTGGAGAGCATTTTGTAGGTTATTTCATCATTCT